TGTGCCCTCAGGGACATGGTGTGAATGTTGGGCTTGTCCTGTGCAGGGACAGGAGTTGGACTGGATGGTCCTTGTGGTTCCCTTCCCACTCACAACATTCTGTGATTATATAATGGGAACTTCTTAGAGAAAACTTAGCAAAATATGTCAAAAACCTCCAAGCTGTTACCAGCAAACTCGTACATTAGGGATTTCAGGCCCTACTGGGGTAAGTAGGGTATGGTCCAAATAATTACATCCATGAAGTGGTAATTTTATTTTCCAAATCGTTGCAGTGTCAGAGAACTACAAAGTCTTGCTAATGGTCTCTGTAGAGAGGTGGCCTAAGGAGCTGCTTTCTGCAGGTGCCAGACTAGTTTCTCCATAGGTGCTCTGTGCTGTGCTGTCAGCTTTTCCCTGCCCCGAGATTGTCTATTAAAACTGGCTGTGAGACCTACCAGGCCTATACAATTCTCCCTGGGGGGCCTGTGTCTGATATTAATAAGATGGAAGAAAAAGTGCTTGGCTGTTCAGAGTGTGAAGTTCTCCTGTTGTGAAGTAATACTATGATTTCTTGAGTGCCAATCAGGAGTTGTAGTCCTAAATTTAAAGTGCAAACTATTCCCATAAAGTAGAGGAAAAATACTGACAAATGTGAAGATTGCAGCTTTGCCCTGTGTAACAACCGGGGGAAAATTGTGTGGTTTTTATTTGATATTTTTTTTCTATTTCTGTAGAGATGAGTGATCTGATATTGTAGTCTTAGAACATTGTGTGACAGCGTCTCACTTCATGTTTTGGGTTTGTTTTTTTTTTTTTTTTCCATGTTCTTACCCTTGTTAATCTTAAATTAAGAAAAGCACTTACTAAACTTTCTCAAAAAATCTTATCTGTTTTCGTTGAAAGGTATTCTCTGTTTTATAACCACTTGAAGGACATTGAGGAAAATGAAGGAGGCATTGATAAATTTTCAAGAAGTTACAAAACCTTTGGAGTTAACCAATTTGTGGATGGTGGAATATATTGCAAAGAGTGGGCACCAGGAGCAGAAGCAGTGTTTCTTGCAGGTGACTTCAGTAAGTATTTTTAAGAATATTCATTCTCTTGTACTGTGTTTTAGATCAATACCCTCTTCACTTAAGGACCATTTTGCAGCAATGATGAAATTCTAGTGGTAAAAATACATGTCGTGGCTTGCTGGTGTAGTAGGATTTTGTAACTTAAACTAATAATCTTTTATTCCACATTGCAATAGCCTAAGAACGCGTGTTTCTATTGTATGGTCAGTTTTATGTGTATCTATAAATATTATTATTTTTTTTAATACCCATAAGGCAATGACTTGTCTGAAGGATCTAATCTGATCACACTGCAGCTTTAGACAGAAGGTGTCTAAATTACCTGAGGTTCTTCCTAAAGCTTTACAGTGAGGCTTCTATAAAACTGTATGCAGATAAGGAGAACTAACAGTGGAATCATTGGCTTTATCTTTGGCTGATCTAACAGCAGTATTGTCCAAGGACCAAGAACCTTTGAAATTCCCACTAATGATGAGAGTGTAGAGGAAGTCCTGCTAGAAAATGGTAATGAAAAATCGAGCAAATCTGCTTATGAAAGAGCAGGTGGTGGTCTGTTTTGAGGGGAGGAGAAGGAAGGATGTTGACCAAACAAGGATTTCATGGAGGAATTGCATTCCTTGCTGTGAGAAATGAGAAGATGTTTCTCTTACTTAAAACTTGAGACAAAAATAAAAATTTGTTCCTCACTTGGAAATGCTAGCTACACTCAAATCATGTTCTGTAAATTCTTAAATGGGAGTCAGATGCATTTTTGCTCTTAAATCATGCATTATTAATTCCACTTTCCTCTTTGTTTGGCGTTTTGGGGTTTTTCATTCTGTTTTTCCCTTTCAGCTCTATTCTCTCCATTTTTCAGGGTTAGGTATTAGTCCCTCAAGACACCAGGAATTTCATTGCTGGCTCTTACTGAATGAGACTTTATCTGTGACGTGATTTAGTTCATTTAACTGCTTTTCAGAAGTATGCAGTGTTATTTATCCAAGTTTAGTTTTGCAGAAATACTGATCTGGTGAATGGTCAGTGTGTGTATTTATATTAAAAAAAAAGTGTATAAATTGCCAGTTTGAGGCAATTAACTATTCTGCTTTGACAAAAAGTTAAATGTTGAGTTTTCCTTCTTCCTTACCCCTGTTAGAGGTAACTATTGAAAGGGCAAGCTCTGTATTTGAGGAAGCAAGTCATTAACTTGAATTTGTATATATAACCTTAAAATTATAAGATTCATTACATATACCATTAGCTGTAGTATCTGGCGGTGCTTTTTAAAGGACTGTGGTTAAGCTTCTGTAAAAATATGCACAGTAATTAAGAACTAAATGGACCACCCTGGCAGTGTGTTTCGGATCCATTGTTAGGATTTTTTCAGTGCTTCACAGCAATCTGTTTGAGTACTGTTTTTCTGTAGTGCTAAAATTAATATGCATATAAATAGAACAAGCAAAAGAAAGCATTTAAATATTCACATTACGCTACAGTTTCCAAACATCATTCTCATAAAAATGCATCTATTTTAACTGTCATAATTTGTATTTTTTTCCTTAAGAAATGAACCAGAAGGTCTGTGTCCACTATACACTGTGATAATTTGAGTCTATAGACAAATAATATTTTTAGAGGAATCTTTTCTCTTAACTGCAGAAGACAGAAAAGTTAGTGCAATGCTATTTTCAACCATGGTCCTGTTTGATATGGTTAACCTAGTGAATGATAGAGTAGCTTTCCTTCAAATACTCCTTGTCTTTTTATTGGAATAGGCATTAATAAAATAGGTTAGTGCAGTACTTGAATTTTAATATGGGAGTCAGATTACGTCCTCTGATTCAGATCTGAATAATGAATCATGTGTGTAGTTCACCTACTGCTAGATGGTAGTGATGCCAGCTATCAATGCTGACTGCCAGACAGCTACATGAGGATATTTTAATAGCTCAACTTTATATGTATAAATTTATCTGAATAAATTCTCCTCCTCTACTCCCTGCAACTCCACTCATTGCTCAAGGCTTTTGTGTGATGGTGATAGATAAAATAATCTTTAAGTCAAATTGCTCAATGCAGTTGAAGACTAGAATACATTGTTTTAAATGTGTATTTTAATAGATAGCCTTTGTATAATGAAATTAATAACTAATATTTTTAAAAGAGGATATAATTTTTAAATTGGCTTGGCAGGTTGGCAGGGGAAGTACAGATATACCAGAATACAGTAGCTATAAACTGGAATGGTTTTCTAAACTCTGCTTCATTTAAAATAGTTCATGTAATACATCATATTAAGTAGAAATTTAGGAATAATATCTTAGAATAGTTGTATCTAGATGCTAATGAAATGTGGCAGTAAGAAGTCAAAAGACTAAAAAGAAATTCACTTTAATATGGAAAAACTGTGTTTGTCCTATATATCATATTCATCATTCACAGTAAAGTATTAATTCCCAAAGGGAAAGATAATGTACTTGGAAAGCCTCAAGGAATGGAAGATTGTCACTGGATTCAGATGAGCTTTAATAATATTCTGATGAGAAATTGGGTTGCAAAACCCAAAGATTTAGATTCAGGTTGCTACAGATATGTTTAATTAAAACTGAATCTCTTTAACCTTTCTTTTACTTTTCAAGCAGGTTAAAGTCTCAAACTAAATCTATGATTATATTATATTTAAATGGAATATCAGAATTGTTTTTAATAAGAATTTTATTATAAAACTCAGCTCTTTATAAAGACAACTGTAACTGGAACCATTGTGAGAGGGAAGTTGAAAGTCTTATACAAAGAAACAAACATGAAACTTAAATGACAGCAGCTGTTTAGGTTTTAAACTGAAATATGATGACATATAATAGAAAGCAGTCAATTTTTGCTTTGTTTTTCAGTTCTCTTGTAGGGAGATGGATAGCAGTGTTTTCTCATAGCGTATTGCTTAATAATACGGTATTGCCTGAGAGTCTCTTAGATGTTTGGAAAAACACAAGAAATGACACAAAATATTAGCCCCTGCTATTTAATCTGATAAATTTTTGAGGATCAAAAAAATTCTAATTGCAAGTGCAGACTGCGTTACAGAGAGCTTAAACTTCTTTCAGAATTTATAATTAAGATGCCAGTTGATAATAGCTTTATTATGAACTGTGCTTCAGATAAACATGAATAATTTATTTCTGTAATTATATACGTGTGAAGCGCAAATGTAAAGTTTTCCATGAAAGGCCTTTATGCCTTATAGCAGCCAAGAAAAGCTTTGATATTAAGGTATTTTGACTCAAATTATGGTATTTCTATACCTCATTCTGAGACACTTGTAGTGAATGGATTACCTTCTATTTATAAATAATTCTTAGTATCACTGTGCATGTTGGAAAAAAGCTAGAATCTAGTAATAGCACACAAATCTGTATTTGGATTGGAGAATGAAAAACACAAATTCAGGAAAATCCAAATACTTCCAGGTGTCTTTTTGTCTCTTCTTTAAAACTCTGTAATTGGAGAGAAAAAGATATATCTGTTAGTATTCTGGTACGATGCCTTACTCTGTTTGAAAAGTATGAAATGAACATTGAAAAACATTAAGATTTGTCAATTAGTACTTCTAGCATCTCAGTAAATCAAGGGTATGAGGCAATTAGATGGATTTCTGATACTAGAGGCAGTATCAACATTATAGCTACCTTAAAACTCTCAGTGATGGCACGTTGAATATTTTATTTGCATGCTGTATTGCTGGGAAACTTGATGACTACTGGCAATTGCTACTTTACAATCAACTATTTCAAAATAAGTCACTGAACAGCAAATTTTGAGGGTAACCCACAGAATTTGTTTGGGAATTGAAACACTCAAAATCATATTTGGCCATGCAGAGACACAGTGGGTTATCTGTAAATGATATTTTAATTTTAAAGAAGTTTCTGGCTTTAAGAAGCTTGAAAGAGTAAATATATGCTAATTTGGAAGTCAGTATTTGATATAACACATTGTTATACTTGCAATTTCTTTTTTTCTTTTCTCTTTCCCCTCCCTCTTTCCCAGCTAATACTAGATCTCAAATGTTGATCACTCTGGAATGTCTCTTAGTTTCTGCTTCCTTTCTCTTGCACTAGTGGGGAAGGCTTCTGCTGGGGCTGGAGGGAGGGTGGGCTGGTTGGTTCCCCCTCACTCTGTCATTTTTTGCTATGTTTTGCTGAAAAATCTGAGCAAAATTAAGCAGTAAAACTGAGAGAAGCCTGAGCCAATTCCTCTTTGAAGGAAGCCTTTTGTTTTCAAGGTGTTTTGAGTTTTTATGCTTCTTGCCTTAATAGGAAGCAGTATTTTCTGTTATAGCCTTCCTAACTGAGTTCCTCTCCAGGACTAAGTACCAAACAATGGTTTTAAGTAGGACCAGCTGGGACAGGTGGGTCTTGCTTTGCATTTATCCTTAAGTGGTGAACCACAGACACCCAGTCAGGAAGGACTGTGGCTGAGAAGAGGAAGGGTTAACAGGAGTGTTGGGTGTTGCCATCAGTTGGAGAGGAAAGGATAAGCAACTTGGGGGGAATTGTTAAAGCAGAGATGCCTAAATAGGTGGAGAGGCAACCAGTCCCCCTCTAAAGGAGAGAGGAGAGGTGGTTGTAACAGAGGTCATGAGAATTATTCATTTATTTTTTAATAATATAAGAATTCAGTGTTCTTGGTGTAGGTAATGAACTCTGAATCAGGTCATTTCCCCAGGTGAGTTTTATGGAGACTGGGACCTCAGGCTTTTGCTGTAAGTTTTTATTTTGCTCAGTATTAGTGAGTCATCACCTGATATATTTCAGGTGCAGTTCGTGCATTGTAATCAAGAGATACAGCTCAGCTGGGAAGAGTTTCACGAAAGGCAGTGAAGATCATCACACTGTGGCATTTCAGGCCAGATTTCCTGGCTGTGGTGTCATTGTCCAGTATTTTGTGGTTTCCTAACCATTGCTACCAAGTTTGTCTGTAGTTTCCCCTTTTTTTTCCTATTTTATACACTTTAAGTGTTACTAACAGGACATCAGCTTATCAAAAAGAGAGGCAGTGAGCAGTGTGTGTGGCCAAACTTGGTTTGAGCATTCAATTTAAAGGTTATTTTTTGGTTGTTTTTTCCACTTCTCTCCATAATCAACATTCCCCCCCATATTGTTGTAACAAATATTTGTTCTGGCTTGCTTAGGATGTGAGATTTTTCATTTTAAATCTACATTAAATATTACTTTTCAGCCATTAATTTTCATACTGCCATAATTTTGTGGTATAAAATCAATAGTGGGTTTGTTTTTTGTTTGGGTTTTTTTTTGGAGAGGAGGAGGTTGTTTTGACTTTGGTCAAAGAAGGTAAAGTAAAAATAATTTAATCATTGTCAAATTAGAATTGGAATATTGTTTCCTAGTGAAAATCTTACACACTTTATTGGACCTCTTTTGAACATGTATGGTAGTATCACATATAAAAGTATTTGTGTCTGCTGTCACTGAATTTTATTCTGAAAAAGATGGAATACGCTGTTATACCTTTGAATTGTAACTGGCCACATTTTAAGATAAACATGCTTGATGTTATTTCTTATATTGCAGATGGCTGGAATCCATTTTCTCATCCGTATAGGAAGATGGAGTATGGGAAGTGGGAGTTGTTCATTCCACCTGGACAAGATGGTTACCCTCCTGTGCCCCATGGATCAAAGCTAAAGGTGTTGGTTCTAGACTTACTCTGACTGATTCTTGTAGTCCTTCTTGTTCCATTGTCCTTGTTTTCTTTTAAATAATTTATCTTCTTTTAATTGTTCTGAGAAGCAGAAGCAGTTTATCTACTTGTGCAAAGTCTCCTCAACGAGTGAAACATTAATATTAACTCTTTGTGATGCTTAGGAACGGGCATACGTGGCTGAAGTGTGGATATAGTGTATTATGTTACAGGATGAAAACAGTATTTACATATTGATAATTTGAAAAACAAGAATGAGGTATTGTATAGATGAAGTCTTTCTGTATTTGATGCAACTGCTTGAGATTAAGATCCTATTCAAATCTGACTACCTTGGTAATTTTTGTCATCCTTTTAACCATGATCTTTTTGTGTTGCTTAAATGGTAAAGCTTCTGCCTGTCATTTAGGAGTTAGGAGTATCAAGCAATAGACTTTTAAGTAAGTTAAACTAAATATAACAAAAGTTTTCCCTGTGTCTCTATTTAATCAGTTGTATTTTGTGTGTATCCATGAGCATAAAATCCTTTCTTCTGGAAATGAATAGGAAGTTTCTTTGAGCTGTCCAATGCCACCATTGTGCAGATACACTTAAACAGCTGTCTGTGATCAGTAGAGTTGATTATTTCTAGGTGAACACTGATTTCAGTCACAGCTGTACTTCTGAAAATTTGAATTGTTGCAGTCAAAGCTTGAGTTTCAGAGATATCAGCTGCTAACGGGGGACAGTAATTAGTAGTTAAGAAAATGAAATGTACTGAAATAATCTGTAGACTAAGAACATGAAGAAACTGGGAGCATCTGTATAATACTGCTATAGTTCCAGGGCTCCCATCTACAAAGCTAACATGCTGAAAAAAATCATTGTTTTTCTGTTGAAAATCAGCTTAGGTAAACAGGGAATCTGCTGAAACAAAGATATGCATAAAAATGCTCTGGAAATGCTTACTCAGTATGTGTGCTTATCTCTTATGCTTTTTGTTATGGGGTATGAAACTGTCCCAGTAATAAATATGAAGAAATTGAAATTTAAGAACAATCATTCAGGGATGAGAAACCTGTTTTTATTTTACAGAGCAGGAAAGAAAACAATTTTCTGCAACTCAGAAATAGTGATTATGCAGTAATGTATGAGACTGCAGAATGGTTATTTAATGTTTTCCATGGTTTTCAGATGTAAGTAGGTTAGATTTTTTGGATTGTTGATAAACTTACCTTTTATTTTGTATCTACAAAACTATTGAACTCTCCAACTGTAGAATATTCTATGCTCAGTGTAGAGATAAAAGATGTGAATGATCAGGAGTGTTGATAATTATTAACATAACAGCAAAAAGCATATATTCTTAAACATGTTTGGGAAAACTGGAGATTTTTTTTTACTCTCTACCTATATAATCACTGGTCACTTCTTCTGTTTTGAAGTACAGGTCTTTATAGTACTTTCTCTCTTTCCACTCACCATTTTCTTTGAAATATAAACTCTATAAAGCAAAGATTGCATTGTGCATAACTTGTTTAGTATGCAGAATTTTTGACTACTGATTACTCTTGGTACTGGTGTACTAGTAAGATGACTTGCTGCAGTTCTGTGGTTGCTCTGAGTCTTCTGAAAAGCCATGAGATTCTTGCTGGCAAAGCAGAATGTGAGGTTTTTCTTTAATTTTTTTTTTTACTATGCCATTTCTTTAGTAGAACTTTTACATAATCAGTTCTAAACAAATATGTATGCAGTTGTCACTGATGCTCAAAATATGTGATTGTCAAACAGGCATGTGAAGCTGGACTGTTCTGTCTGCCTGGGAGATAGATTTGCTTTGAAGTGCATATATTCTTGTCTTTAAAATAAAAATAATAAAATAAGGATTTAGAAACTTGATTCACAAGTGTAAGGAATCATAATTGATGACTTCATCCATATGGAACTGCTCCCAGCCTCATCTGTAACTTTGCTAATAATGTTTCATGACACTTTGTTCTTGTTCCGTGGTGCCTACACAACTGAATCTAACAAATCACCATGTGTACTTTCAGTGTATTTAGATAATATAACTAATGTGGAAAAAAAGTCTCCAGTTAAGATAATTCTAAAGTGGTTTATTTGTCACAAAAGCTGGAATGAGGTTGGAATATTCCACATGGTGGGCATGTATGTTACTCAGCTGATCTCTTTATCCTCTCTCATTCCACTAATGTTTTTAAGAAAATTGCTGCTCTTGGGTAAGTTTTCTTCCAACTCTGTGGTTCTGTTAAGATTATGATTGTTCATAAATGTCTTTTTTTGGGAACATAAGGATTTGTGTGGCAGAGCACAGTTTTGCAGATCCTTGTTGGTGTAGAAGCTGAGAATATTGGATTGTCTGTGGATGGAAATTCCTGTGCAGCTTGCAGAGCTAATGTTTAAATATACAGGCACTGTTGTCTGTGCACTGCACTGGGCAACAAACTATTTCCTTTTAGTAATGAGGATATTCCCTCCTTTACTAACAAAACATAGGGTAGGAGAATAATAAAAACAATATTATAGTTAAATATTTAAGTTAAAATAGTCCACTTTAGACATTTATGCAGTGATTTGATTAATCTGCTAGGGGGGAAAAAAAAAATCTCCTCCAGAAGGTCCTTATCTGTAGCTTCTGTCTGTGCTGTTTTCATCTTTAGTTCTACACAGGGGAGTGCCAAGTTCTGAAATGGTGACAAGGTCATTTCTTTTAAATAAGTAATTTCTAAGCCAGAATGGGAAATGGATGGAGTGTTGCCAGTGACACTAATTTAGATCAGGTCACAAAATATTTTTGTAGGAAGATAAATGAGGAGCAGAGGTCAAACATTTGCCTGTTTTCAATAGTAGTAGACTGTCTGCTGTAGCTCTTCAGGCAGCCTTCTCATAAGGAAATATAAACATTGAAGAAGGTGAGTAATTAAAAAATCTGCTATAGATCTTCTGATGCATTTCTGTGCGAAGGGATGGATGTTTACAACAGTTGAGTGACTCCCTTGGATTATGACATCCATCTACAAAATAAGATTACCTGCTGGAAAAGGGCACTTCTTTCTTTTTCCCATGGATCAGTGGGGAGCTTAGAGTGAGTTAAGAGAGCAAAGGCACTTGCTGTTGTGGTTGTGTGGGGTCTGTTCTCACAGATGTCATAAGCAGAGCACAGTTCATTAAAAAAAAAAAACCCCAAACAAACAACAAAACAAACCCCAAAAAACAAACAAACAAAAACCCAAATGAAACAAAAAAAACCCAACCAAACAATTTTGCACTTTAATAAATTAAACCTCTGTTTCTTTATTCTAATGGGGATAATTTGAAAGATGGTCTGGGACAACCCAAGTTTCTTTAAATGACAGCATGTGTGTCATTCTAACAGGGATGGCAGGTGGGGAGTGTGTGTACTTGTCTTTTTTCATGGTTGAAAATGACTAAATTCTTCCCTCATTGCCAGAGTACTTTCAATTAACTTTTCACAGTATACAGCAAGCTTTTAGAAAAATTAACACGGATAGGCTTCCTTAGCAAGTCTTGTCATGTGTTCTCATATGCGTGCAGGAGTTTAATTACTGTTCCACTTTGTTCTTCTACTGTTTATTTATAAATGAATTTTACAACTCCTTAAAAATATCTGTAAAGTCAGTTTTCACTGTAGTCTTTAAGATCCTAATTTTGAAATGGTGTCAGTGGAGTTCAGGGGTGGGGACAGTATTGGTAAAAATTGAGGTCTTGATATTTTCAGTGGGGAACTTGTTTAATATTCTTTATGGGAATGCCAAGGAACAAAACAGAAAATGCAGAACACTTGGAAAATAGAAGCCAATAAGAATTCAAACCTAGATTAAAATACTTTTCAGATCTGTGGCTAATGATCTGTGATAGTTTAACTTAACTGGCAGCCAAACAAGTTCTAAAATATTTTCACACAGCTAAATAAGAAAAAAATTGTAAAATCAGTTCATCCAAAATGTTAGCAATTATGATTGAGCTACCTGCTGTCCTGGAACATTGGATAGGAGGAGATCTGTGTAGCAGAAACACCGAGTTTTCTTCCATGAGCCAGAGAGGGTATAGTAAAATAGTAGTTCAGTTTTCTACTAGTGATAGTAGATCTGTGATTTCTGAAATAATTTGACAGAATAAGAATTTTATATAATAGTAAAGTTATCTGACACTTTATCTGAAAATATGCTGGGTTAGTTCATGAAATTAAACCACTGTATACAACTAAACGTGTACATTCAAGAGATGTAGTTTAAGGTAAGTGATTCTGGTTTATTTCTCTTGAGTTATGAAGGTAAGGGTCAGGATGACTGACATACCTCTGTAATGCAACTTCTACCAAGAATGTGGTAAAGTTTGGGAAGTTATCTGTAAAATATCAGTGACTAAATTTGTTGGCTTCTTATTTCATATTGAAGTTATATGAGTTCACTACAAATGGATAACTTTCTCAGATAGCTTTTATGGAATTGAGTTGAGATAGATAAAAGTAAAAAAACCAAAACAAAACTGCAAAACCCACTGAAAACAACCAAACAAACAAAACCCAAACACACGAACAAACAAACAAAAAGAACCCAACAAAATTCACCAAAACCTAAAAAAACCCCCTCAAACAAACAAAAATAATAAATACCCCCCCACACACATCACACACCCTGTTTTCTAGTTAATTTTGATTGGGTTTTAACAGATCATTTCTGGGTACCATAGCAGAATTTCTTTCTGTATGTTGACAGAACTAATTATATACAGCTCAGGGAACAAACAACAAGTTTTCCTTGGAAAGGTCACCTCAGAAAATGGTAGAAGATTTTAAAACCATGACATTGCATAATTTACTAAATCTGTATCCTTTTCTCCTTCACACACATGTATCTATATATGTGTGTGTGTGTGTGTGTGGATACATATAAATGGTAAACTTTATAGGTTTTTAGGGAGTGTCTTGTAATGAGTCAATGAGATTTGTTGTCTTGTGTACTT